CGCCGTTGCATATCCAATCATCTCGTGACACTTGCAATTTTCCCGCTTGTCCATCTTATAGAAACATGCTTGAAAAATATATAATATTTCAGCATCACCAGATTATTTTTTTCGGTTCAGGTTCAGCCGGTATTTTTCTCGGAATATTGAGTAAAAAGTTGTATGTTGGCAAAATGATACTATCAAAGAAAAATAAAATGGATATTTTATTTTTAATTTCTTAGAAAGATCTTTCTCGTGAACTGCACAATGGTTATCATAGAGAGCATACAGTGACGCTCACGATATTCTTGGGGGTAAAAGAGATTTTATGTAATGGGGCTTCGCAATACCATTGTTATCAGTATACTCTTTCAATTCGACCACCACGCGGTTCCCACTGGAAACCATCGTGATTGATTTATTGTTGAATTTGTCATGATCGGATCAACTGACCTGCTTTACCTCATCATGACCTCATCTATCATCCCTCACTAGTGCTCCGCCAATGTATAGTATGTAGTGCAGACAGGGTTGTTGTTCCATTATCATCCATTAAAAAATACCATTCAGGCGTTGCCATTTTCGACGACTATGGTATTATAATATTTTTCTCATACATACTAAACTGAGTCAATTATCGTACTCTTAAGTTTGATGTCATTTGAGAGTGACGTCATATCTTATAGTAATTATTTTATATTCAGACTATTATAGCTATTTGTTTACCACTTCGTACGCGTGGATTTCAGAAGTAGGAAAATCAATTTAAAAGACCGCATCCAGATGGCGTAACAAGATAAATTATACGTCATTTTTTTAATTAAAACTTAAGAAATACAACTACGACAACTGTATCTAATTCCGTATAGTAATTTTTGCATAATGCCAGTACAAACATATGAACAAAAACACAACATTTCTAAAAAATATTGATCTGTCTTCTATTTCTCTTATTAAAACCCCCTACGATATCTTCTTTCTTAAATTTCTCCCATGAACATCATTACGTTACAATTTAATTACTTTAGTAATATAAAATATATAAATTAAATTTTATACTATTTTTATTTGCAAATATTGTTAATGTCATTACCATCTTCATATCAGCCTTTAACTGTTCACTGCTGAACATAAACCTCCCCCTAGAGGGGGGTTTAGTCAGTAGTTGCTACGCTTAGAAGGCGGATTGGCAACCGCAGTTTTTTTTTAATGAGTAATAATAGAATGGTAATTCTGCCTGCGCTAACGGTATACGCTGGCAGGGCACCAGTGAGGAGCGATAGCTGAGAATGAAAGCAGGTCAGTTAGCCCATCGTGAAGAGTTAACCACGATGGTTTCCAGGAAGAACCGCGTGGAGGTCGACCTGATAGGGTATATTGCTAGCAATGGAGTTGTTAGACACCGTTACTAACAATCCCTTTCCTCCCTGGCAACCGCAGTTAGCCTTTGTAGAGAAACCCTTAGTTGCCTCTTACGACACCCACGTGGAAGGAAGGGGTGACCTATTCTATGCCGGGACCACATGGTCGTATAAATAAATAATTAAATATATGTATAGAAGTTTTATAGAAAATAAATGTATTTTACAATGGCAATAATGGAATGACAAATTACTTCAGTAAGGTCTCCACGTACTGTATAATAATAAATTTTATTCAAATTTACAGTTTTATTAATCTATGAGTTTATTTAATAGTACAGTTAACAGTTCGTGCAGGTAAAATAATATTAACTTTAAAAATTTAGTTTTGTGTAGTAATAAAAAAGTGCTTTGTTACTTTAATAATTTAGTCAAGCGACGAGTGTTTAGTACAAAATATTCCATTACTAAAATTTTATTGTTTTAACACATTTAATTGCTAAAATATTCAACACTCTACTAAATTATTATAATAAAATAGAATAGACATAGGTGTGTGTTTAAATGAATTATGCAAAATTAAAATTTTACATAATGTTATGTTAAATTCCAACTCGAAGTTTTTATATAAAACCTTTGCTAAAAACTTTTAAGGATTTGACAATGTTACATTACATTGTTTTCGAGAAGTGTTAAAAATTATTATATATAAATAAAATTAATTATGATATTTATAAATTGTCTTTTGTAACACTAAATCAAACAGTTCGGTGATGATTACTTTGTTTCTATATAATATAAGAATAAGAAGATAAATTATTAAAAAAGCTTCTTCAAAATAAGACCTTCAAATAATAGCAATAAAAAAATATAAAACTAGAATAAAAGACTTCTTCAAAAGAGTAAAAGAAAGACGAAACCTCTAGTCCTGTCTTGTCTTTCTCTCTTGCTCCATTTACAATGCCTAAAAGCCTAATCTTTGTTCTTGAGCATATATGATATATGAAGCGGTCATTAATTTTTATCTTTGATTGAGGAATTCTAATCTAGTTTATAAAGGGAACGACAAAAATCATCTTCTTAGATACCTCCGTTTCACTCGTTTTTCTGTCGTGAAGCTTCTGTAATTGTATTGCTATATTTTAGTTTGGAGGTATGATACAACATAATGAAATTTCGGAGTACAGAGGTATAGGACTACAGATCTGAGGAATGGCAATGTATAATGGGTATCAGGAGCATATCAGTGCGTTCTGTGATTACCATCTTTCATAAAGAGAGGCTTAAGCTTGTTTGTCTCTATAAAAAATAATAAACCAATATAAAGGCGAGTCGCAGGCACAAGCCACTGGCTAATACACTCGACTCGTTACTTTCCTATAAACATGACCAATGTAAACCGGGCGTTGAAAACCCTTTTATCTTGCACGTACGTACAACTTTCGTGATGAGGTAATAATAATCGCCATCTTGCTTGTGTCGTAACAGATTGCAGGTTTAGAGGACATTTTCCGGTCATGTGTCCTCATGAGGACCGCTCCGAAGGTGACATGTTAGTCACAGTGCCTCCGCAGAATCACAATGAATTAGTTCAGCGGCTTGTCATTATAATAGATAATTTATTTCATTAACCATTTAAGCATCTCGAACGAGACCCTCTCGCGCCGATGTGTTCCGAATTGCGCTATCCCGAGTATCTCTCGCTACTTATAAATATTATGTTTATATTTTTATCTGTAGCGATACCTTCTCGCCCGTTTGTATTTCATAGAGCTTAGTGTATGTTTATTGTATGCTCGTTCGAATTTAGTGCGTGCGCCAGTGCGCCAGTTGGCCTCATTTCACAGAAAAACCCTCGCGTTAAGTGGTTAAAAAATTACAACTTTTTTTTAATTATGCATAAGTATATTAATTAATTATATTAATCCAATAATTAAGTACTGCATTTGTGATTCACTCTTCATCGCAAAGGTTGGCTGGTTGAGAATGCTATTAGCATTATGTCCGCCTTTTATACCTTATTTAATTTTGGTCAATAAATTTATTTGAATAAATATTTCTTTACAAGACGAAAAAATAGCGAATTTTGGAAAAATATACTAATTAAAAACTAAATATTTCATTAACATAATATATTTAAACTATTTTAATTTTAAATGCGGAAACATGGGTTTAAAAGTAAATTATAATTTGCAAAGAAAATCGACAGCTTTAATCGTTTGTCGGTGGTAAATATTGTACTAATATGGAAGTAACCGCAGAACCATTCTTTGGAATCAACTTCCAGCAGCAGTATTTCCGAACCAATACGACATCATAACCTTAAAGAAAAGAGCATATTCTTTTTTAAAAGGCCCGCAGCATATTTGCGTTGCCTCTGGTGTTGTGGGTAATTATGGGCTGCGGTAGTCACTTACCACCAGGTGAGCCGCATGCTCGTTTGCCCACTGTATTATAAAAAAAAGGAAAAATAACCAATTACGAAAATTATTAACTCTGTATCAAAATTGATGATAAATCGCATAAAATCAAATGAATAACCTCGACGTCATAGAATACATAGTAATGTCCATGGTGAGCGAGGGAGAAAAGGATTTTGATGGGGATCTGACCGCCCCATTACTAGCAATATACTTTGTCTAGTTGGCCTCCACGCGGCTCACCCTGGAAACAATCTTGATAAATCCGTCACTATGGGTTAAGTGACCTTTTCGATTACCACCTATCGTTTCTCACTGGTGCCCCGCCAGCGTATACTGATAGCGCAGACGGAGTTATTACTTATGCGTTATCATTCTTGAAGATTTAAATAAGGTGGTATGCTTCTGTATCCAGTAATAACTGTTGGAGTATTAAGTGTGTTTCACTAAAGGTCCAAAATATAGAAATATATATAAAAAATATTATTAATAGGTGGCAACTATATATATATATATATATATATATATATATATATATATATATATATATATATATATATATATATATATATATAATCCGATCAATTGTGTCATTACGCAAATGTGAAAACGATTCATGGCTTAACATAGATATAAATTTGATTATGTATTGACTGTAATTCAGCTGTACGTTTTCCAAAAAATAAATAAATAAATAATTTTTTTTTTTTAAGATAGTGTGTGCTCTCTTGTCTGTGGTTCTTTCCTTCCTTTTCAACAGAAACTATATAATGTACAAGTGAGTTAAGAGCAAAATAAAATATTATAAAAATATTGTACGCTGTTTTATATTAAAAAACCATCAATAAAGTACACCAAGATATCAACTTGCGAACCGAAACATGACCGTCCGACCACTGCTCATTGACGGCAAAAGAGGGAGTCATAGACTATTACAACCCCTTTTAATTGGCGGGAAAGGAATTGTTAGCATTGAGGTAGACCTCAATATTAACAATACTAACCAGCCCTATTGCTAGAAACCATAGTGATTAATTCTTATTAAATTCGTCACGATAGGCTAACTGATCTGCTTTCTGCTCATCTATCATCGATCATTGGTGCCCCGCCAGCGTATACCGGTAGCGCAGGCGGTGTTACCATTCCATTATTATCCATAAAAAAACTTTTACCCCTTTTAACTTCTTTTCATTTAATTAAATTTAATACACATACATATTTATAATATTTTTTTCAGTACGTGATAACGTTCCTGTGCATGTCAGTGAGCGCTGCACCGCCCGCCCCGCCGCGCCTCTACCCGCAACCAGCGCCTGCGCAGCTACAGCAGATCAATCCGTATGTTGGCAGTATTGCTAATCTATGATTTTGAAATTTAATAATTACGGAAACGTCATTGAATAATCGTTATTCTATAATCAAATAGTCGTGACCCTAAAATAACATCTTTTTAGTGTCATTATATTACCCGGATTGCAATAAATTAGATGGTATATTTGTATGCCATTGAAAAATGTTGTCATGTTTGCTATCCGTACTATATATTATGCAATTTTGTGCCTTAATAATGAACGGTTTGGTTTTATTTCAGTTATGACTACTATTTGGATAATCCAGAAGTAGGGAACTATTACAACCAAATACAACAGAAACAAGGTAAGGAAGTACAATATATATATATATATATATATATATATATATATATATATATATATATATATATATATATATATATATATATATATTCAGAACATAAATAATAATATTAGTATAAACAAAATCATAAAATTGGAAATACCTACTTTTGTTTAAAAAATGTTATACTCAAATTTCTTGTTTATTTTTCTTAGCTAAAAATAGTTTCAGGATATACACAATAATAACACATAGAAAAAACTCATCATTGTAACTTGAAAATTAATAATAAATAATAAAATCAGTAATAATAATTAAAGATAATAGAATATAATTTGTTATTTAAAGAAATATTATCAATATAATAAAATTTGACAATTTCAAATGCATAAACTTAAACTTGTTTAATGAAGTATTTCAACTGACAGACTCTAAGCACAGACTGTATCATAATATTGTTGTTAGGTTCTACAAATGGAAAATCTAATGGTGCCCCATCAAGACTGGAGAATTTGGAGCCTGACAGTGAGGTGGAACTCTTACCAGGAGCTCAACAGCCACAGCAACCCCCACAACAGGTAGTTTCATTAACACCAATAACACCGAATATTCCACTTTTTTCCCAACATTAGTAACTAAAACTGACTTTCTCCAAAAAAAATGATGAATCATGTATTTTTTTTAGTATGTCTATAAGCAAAATATCTCTGATTTTTACGATATATATTGAATATATATATGTATCATGTATATATTTTTTTTAGTTTGTTTAATAAATAAACAAAATATCTCTGCTCTTTATAATATTTAGATGAGCTGAGCTGAATTCTGCTTATGTTTTAATTGATTTAAGTATAGTAGCGTATAGCCAGATAAATAGATACTCTTTATTGTTTCCTCCAAAACATAACAGTAGTAAACTTATTATAGATACAAACTATTACAAGAAATAATCACAATGAGAAAACAATGGACGATCTTATCGCTAAAAGCGATCTCTTCCAGGCAACCTTTGGATGGAGAGGAGTAATTATAAACAATTTGATCGGAGGCACGATGAAAATATAGACTCTAAATGGAACGAAAAATGCATTCTAATCTAAATTATTTCTTGTAACAACCTATGGGAGACGTTTATGTCCAGTAGTAGACAGTGAATATCTGAAATGATCAAGTTATTCTTAACAATCTAACCTCTTAATTACAGAATCCAGTTTCTCCAAACCTCCCAGGACTTGTTCCGGGACAAAGGGTGTTCATCGTCCACATGCCAGTACCCGGATACAGGTATACTTGCAATCCATTCTTTGCCTCTTTTACTTTCACAAGTACATTTTGTTATACAATTTTATTGTATAAGTTTTAGTAAGTTTCATCACTATCGTCGTCGTTAACTGTTCACTGCTGAACAAGCCTCCCTCGTAAGGGATGAGGGATGGGGGGGGGGGGTTGCCAGTAATTGCTACGGTTGGCAGGCAGGTTGGTAACCGCAGTTAGGATTCGGTGATGTTTTAAAAGGGACGCTGCTACCCACCCCTCAACCGGAGGGAAAGGGATTGTTAGTAATGGAGACTGAGAATCCCATTGCTAGCAATATACCCAACCAGGTCGACCTCCTCGCGGTTCTCCCTGGAAACTATCATGGTTAATTCCAGATGAATTCATCATGATGGGCTAACTGGCCTGTTTCCATTCTCATCTATCACCCTTCACTAGTGCTCCGCAAGCGGATACCGTTAACGCTGGCGGGGTTACCATACCATTTTCACCCATCAAAAAAAAAACCATCTCTCGACCGTTAAGTTCCTTTAGTCGCATCTTACGACACCCACGAGAAAATAAGGGACGGCGCATTCTATGTCAAGTCCACTCGGCGAAGTTTAGTAAATTTACTAAGATATGATATTCATCATGATTTCAGACCTGGTACGATTGGTGGTTACCAGCCTGTGTACATAGTGGCAGCAGCGCCGCAGGGCAACACAGGCTTCCCTGGAAACGGTAAGCCATTTTGTAAATTTCGCAAATATATATCAACATTAAAATTTCGTCCATTGTCTGTCCACTGCTGGACATAGGCCTCCTCTATATACTTCCATAAGGAACTATCCTACACCACCTGCATCTAGTGACTCCCTGCAATGCATTTGAGGTCGTCACTCCATCTAAGGGGTGTCGTCCTACACTGCGTTTGCCTGTACGGAGTCGCCATTCAAAAACCTTTTTTCCCCATCGATTGTCAATTCCTTGAGCTATATGACCAGCCCATTGCCACTACAGCTCGTTTATCTATCAAGCTATGTTGGTTAAATATCACAACAGGGGGGAAAGGGATTGTTAGTAATGAAGTTTGACAGCCCCATTGCTAGCAATATGCCTTATTAGGTCGACCTCCACGTGGTTCCCCCTAGAAACCATCGTGAATAATTATTGTTGAATTTGTCACGATGGGCTAACTGACCTACTTCATCCTCACCTATCATCCTTCACTGGTGCCCCGCCGGTGTATACCGATGACGCGGGTGAGGTTACCATTCCATTATCATCCATTAAAAAAATATATATCACAGCTACTCAATTTTTATAAAAACTAAAACGTTCTACTAAAATAAACTAAACCAATTTTAACTATTACAGTGTTTTATCACTGTCATTCAAATTGAGAAATTATCCCAAAAAGAAAAAATAGAAAACACTTCAATAGCTAAAATAGATTTATTAGTGGTTTGATTTTTTTATGAATAAAGAGGTTTTTTTTTATACAACTTAGAATGGCAAACAAGCTGACGACCCACCTGATGGAAAGTGGTAACCGTCGCCTATAGACATGAGCAGTACCATGGACATAACAGAGTATACTGTTTCGCCCATGATACCCCCCATGCGTTGCCATTCCTGAGGACTCAGATGTTATTCCTCTGTACCCTGTAAATTCACGCCATATGGGATATGGCCCTTCAAACCGAAACACAGCCATGCAAACACAACTGCTTTACGGTTGAAACACGAATGGGACAAAGGTACCCAAGCAAACGACTTTTGTACAAAGTCTCCCTCTGGTAAACTTGCTCGATTACTTTAGTTTTCATGCGTATTAAACATAAAGTGATCGATTCGATTTGTTTGTTGCATTATAAAAGCATTATGTTTAAAGATAATTTCTTCTCTACGGTTATAGGTAGTGGAATGAGCACCCTTCTAGTTCTTTAAAAAACGAATGTAGTTTCTTACAGGCCAGCAACAAACTAGTAACGAAGAAAAAGTAACATTTTTGTTTCAAGTATTCATGAGCGACGGTAGTTACTTGGTAGCAGGTCAATCGTCACGTCTGCTCGTTTGCTTTTTAACAATAATAAAATAATATTATTAAAACTTATGTAGATACATTATTAATACACGAAACTGGGCATTGGGAATTTTATGAACTTTCTATTTTAGTCAATTGTCACTTGCTTCAACAATTTGTAATATAAAAATATGTAAAATTTTTGTATTTTTTTAAAGTAATTATTATATTCTGTGTAAAACAAATATTTGTGTCATTTAATAACGAAAGGAGAAGCCATATTTTAAACTGTATTTTGCTCTCACATACAAAAAATGGGTACCGACCTACTGAATAATGAGTATGCTTTCGAAAAAACGTTTTGAAATCTTCATGTAATTCTTTTTTATTTGTGCCGACATTTTTAGAAAGTATTTTTGCACTGTAACTGCAGTTTAACAGCAAATTTCTCTTCATGTCCAAAGTTCTGTACCTGTATACCTAAATGAATTTTGGTTAACAACAAAAAATAATTATTAATTATTATTATTAATAGTATTTTTAATAATATTATTACTACAAAAGAATAAATGAAAACTTCAAACGTCATCAAAAATTAATAATGAATCGTTATGGTAGATATGAGCTGTATGAGCAGAGTCCTTTGCCTTTTGATAGTATTATATTATCTATGCCCTGGGAGGTCCGTGGCTACTACGTGGGCCGGTGCTGGCAGGGAGCCGCTCTAATTCCTTGCCATCAGATATGTTGAAGCGTAAAGCAATCATATATGGTAAAATATCTATGCCCTTCATTTGGGATAAACCTAAGGGATAAATAGAATAAAAAAATGCTCGAATTATGAAACATTTCTCTATGGAAAGTTATGTCAAAATATATGATCAAATTTAAATAAAAATATATACAAAATTAAAATTAATAAAAATAGCATATATTATAGATAATTGTACCATTTTATATTTCATTGCCATCGAATTTAGCTTACAATATACTAAGACAAATTTCTTAATAAATTACTTCTTTTTCTAGGTTACCAGAATGCAATTCTTCTGGATCCGTCAGGACAGTCCGTCATATCCCCTGTAGTGGGATACCCGAGGCAAGGAGTGGCAGGTGTTCAGGCTGTGCAAGCAGGGAACCCTGGCCTGCTTCTTGGCAGTCCACTCGGCTTGAACAGGCCTTTTGATTTGGCGTATCAAGAGCCAGTTATAGCTTACCAGTAAGTTTCAATTACGTGAAATCAAGAAAAATTTTTGTGTAAAAATTTTTAGCATGAAACTTCCATATGAGTAGTTTCATAATACATATAGTATATAGTAATCTTCTAATATACCAGAGACAAATTTTGTGTTTAGTTCTTTGCTAGTCGCTGGTTTTGTTATAGGTAAATTTGGCATTTCAGACAATTTATCATATTGAAGACTAGGCAGCATGGTCTCCGACCTTAGCATGTTCCACAACGGAACAAACGGTGTAAAAAATAAAGTAAATTTGGCGGGAAATTTCTAGTTCAAACCAGAAGAATAAAATTAGATTTTTTTTTTTTTTTTTACAACACAGGGGGCAAACGAGCATGCGGCTCACCTGATGGTAAGTGACTACCGCCGCCCATGATCACCCACAACACCAGCGGCATTGCAGGTGTGCTGCCGGCCTTTTACACAGGAATATACTCTTTTCTTGAAGGTTATGTTGTCGTATCGGTTCGGAAATACTGCTGCTGGAAGTTGATTCCAAAGAATGGTTGTGCGTGGAAGAAAGTGCCTTGAAAAACGCACGGTGGAAGACCGCCACTCGTCCAGATGATTGGGATGAAACTTTAGTTTGTGGCGGGTTGTACGGTGGTGAAAATCAGCAGCAGGTATCAATCCGAACAATTCCTCAGAACACTCCCCATGATAAATTCGGTAGAAGATGCACAGAGATGCAACATCTCTGCGCAGCCTCAGTGGATCAAGTCGGACAGTATATATATTGACTATATATATATATATATATATATATATATATATATATATATATATTGGCCTTTAACTGTATATATATATATATATATATATATATATATATATATATATATATATATATAATTATATATATATATATATATATATATATATATATATATATATTGAGCACTCCTAACTTCTTGGAAGCTATCTTAGCCTTCTCCTCCAGATGACCGCAAAACTGGACGTCGCAAGATATATCAACGCCCAGAATTCCTAGACTCGACTTTTTATCAAGGGAAGTGCCCTGAAAGTGAGGAGATACGACAAACGGCGTCTTTTTTGCGGTAAACGCGCAGACTTGTGTCTTTTTGGGGTTAAATTGGACAAGATTTTGTTCACCCCAGATCGAAACTTGATGAAGTTTCGATTTCAGACACAAGTCTATTCCGGCACTCATCGGTATGTGCCCGCGAGATCCTTGTATGACCGGTATATAATGTATCTCCTGTACTGTCGTCTGCATAGCAATGAATATTACTTATCTGTAACATATCATTGATATGCAGAAGAAACAGAGTCGGAGACAGTACACAGCCTTGCGGGACACCAGCATTCAAAGGTTTTAAATCAGAGCATGCTCCGTCGACTACGACCTTAATGCTACGTTCCTTGAGAAAACTGGCGACCCAAATGCACAGTCTCGCAGGCAACCCAAATGAAGGTAGCTTTGAAAGCAGCGCTCTATGCCACACCCGATCAAAGGCCTTCGCGATATCCAGACTAACTGCTAAGGCCTCTCCCTACTCTCGATAGCCACTGCCCATCGGTGTGTTAAGTAAGCTAAAAGATCACCGGCCGAACGTCCCTGTCGAAAGCCGTACTGGCGATCACAGATCAGCTGGTGTTCTTCTAGGTACCGGAGCAGTTGACGGTTAATGATGGATTCCATAACCTTCGAGAATAAGGAAGTATAGCTATGGGCCTATAGTTAGCTGGATCTGAGAGGTCTCCTTTTTTAGGGATCGGATGCACCAGAGCAGTCTTCCAAAACTTTGGGACTATGACCGTTGAGTAGCTAAGCCGAAAAAGACGCGTAAGAACCGGAGCCAACTCTGGTGCGCACGTCCTAAGCACAATTGGAGGAATACCATCGGGCCCACTCGACTTATGGATTAAACTCGACTTATAGATAAAAAAAAATGCCATGTATTACGATGTAATGTCCACTGCTGAATATAAAGAGGTTATGGCATTAGTTGCCACGCTTAACAGACGTGTTGGCAACCGCAGTTAGGCTTTTATTAAATTAATAATAAGATTTGCATTCAATACCATGAAAATAACATAAAATGTTACGTTCGTGTATCAGTTCCTTTCTAATTAATATTCCTCGTTAAAAATTATGCAATAAATTTTGATGTACCTATAAAAATTTATAACATAGTGAAAATATATATCCTTATTAAAGAACTAGAAGAACTTGTTTAGAATTAATTTATTATATTATAAAGTATTTATAATTTAAGAAATTATCTTGTTATGAAACAACTTTAATATATATTTTTGTATGTTTGGTTCAAACATACTCAACGAAATGTTGGCATGACGAACATATGGCTAATTTGTAACACGTAAAATTTATATATATATATATATATATATATATATATATATATATATATATATATATATATATATATATAAAACATTGGGGCAAACGAGCATGCGGCTCACCTGATGGTAAGTGACTACCGCCGCTCATGATCACCCACAACACCAACGGCATTGCAGTTGTGCTGCCGGCCTTTTAAAAAGGAATATGCTCTTTTCTTGAAGGTATTATTCATTTGTTTTGTTGTGTTTTGCAGACCAGGGCCTGCAGCGCAAGGAGTAAACGGTGGCCGAGGCGCCGTACGTCTCTCTCAGTACGTTTCCCTACAAGGTCATCCGAACCCTGCCAATCCTAAGGCAGCTGGTAATGGTGAGTAGGTAACAAACGAAAATAAAAATAATATTACTTTATTATTACTTCCTCTTCTTACTGTTTTCTTTTAATATTTACACTGTCCGCTGGTAATTAGTGCTCCTTTCCACTCAGGGTTTGCTGGAAAAGAACTCGTGCAGAGATAAGCTAGCCTGTTGTACATCTTTATTCAATACAAACTATATGAATGTAATTTTTATGTACAATAAAGTATAAATAAATAAATAATAGATAAATAATAATAATAGCTGATCCAATAAACATAATTTTTACCCTTTACAAGTTACTTGTCAGGGTAAGAACTATCCAATAGGATAGTTCCTGTTTACACTGTTTACCCTGAGAAATATCACAAATTAAAGCAAACAATACATGTTCACAAAATTTTATTAAAATGTATTGAGCAGTTTCGGAGATAAGCATGAACGGAGATAATGACAGAGGATTTTTACAAACTGAAATATAATATAATGTGATATGATTCTTTTAAGAGAAAAATCTTATGTATCCAGCAAATGTAGTGTAATTTAATAACAAATATATAATTTTTTTTCTCTTTATTTAGGTCAACAAACATTAGATACAATAACATATATATATATATATATATATATATATATATATATATATATATATATATATATACATATATATACATATATATATATATATATACATATACATATACATATACATATACATATACATATACATATACATATACATATACATATACATATACATATACATATACATATACATATACATATACATATGTATCTTAATATCAATGATTTTAGTGTCACCAACGACATTGTCCACCTATTACTACAAAATGGTTGTGTGCAACTACTTGTACAAAACTAAACATATACACATACATGAATAACAGAAATGTAAAGAAGTACGTACCAGTGATCCACTCAAAATCAAAGAACTTCCAAATTGATTTTATAATATTTTAAAAATTAATATATATTTACCAGCAATAAATAAGTAAATACAACATCAACAACAAAATATCATTCCTCCACCTCAAGTAGACCACCGATAAGTCTCCCGAATGCACCAACACGTTCCGAACTAATATCAACGGAGTTGTATTCTAATATTTATGGTAGGAATTCGTTTATCCCATAGATTCATTCTTAATTTTATCCATACTTATCATCATACATCTATCTCAACCTTGACATCATATTTTTAACCAATCATATTTCATTCGTCATTCTTTCTTGGCTTTTTGACTTCTTCAGACAAAATAGCAAGCAAATTCACGATCAAATAAATTATTATAGAGAAAATTTACGAGTCACATGTAATTAACGAAACTTTTTTTTTTATACAACTTAGAATGGCAAACAAGCTGACGGCCCACCTGATGGAAAGTGGTAACCGTCGCCTATAAACATGAGCAGTACCATGGACATAACAGAGTATACTGTTTCACCCATGATACCCCTCATGCGTTGCCATTCCTGAGGACTCAGGTGTTATTCCTCTGTAACCAGTAAATTCACGTCATATCCCACCCTTCAAACCGAAACACAGCCATGCAAACATAACTGCTTCACGGTTGAAGCACGAAACTTATAAAATATTACCCAAAAATATACATACTTACTGGAAATTGAGATAAAATAAAAGCTTGCAAGATTATAATTTTTGTTTCATCATTTCAGCCATTATCCGTCCACTGCTAGACATAGACCTCCCCCATAGACTGCCATAAGGAACGGCATCCACTAGTTACAATTTTTTTTTTATTTTTGCTTATAATAAATATTTTCTACAGCAGAAGCAGAGCCGAAGCGATCGGTGGAAGGGAGCGAAAGCAGTGAAACTAAAGAGACCGAAGAACCTAGACGCTCAAGACCGGCGCAGGCGCGACCTAAACCATAGGCTGTACTTTGATTTATAACAAATCCAAAAATTTGCATTCCTGCCGCGTTTTTTTATTAAAACTAAACTCTTGATTTTTAAAAGAAATACTCTTAAAAATAACAGAGGCTCTTCTTACTCAGGTTTAAGTTTAGTTTGAATAGAGCTTTCTTTAATTAATTTCTTTTACAAATTGCAAAAAATATACGACGATCATGACATTAAAATGTTCTATTTAAATTATATGTTATTGATTTTAATCAAGTTGTAGAAAAATATATTATATATATATATATATATACTTTACAATAATTATGAAGGCTGTAAAATAATTTAATATTAAAAAACTTGAAGATTTAACATTTATTTATTTTATGACTGTTAAACCTTCGGTTCTCACGTGATCGGCTGTAGTAATTAATTTGAAATATAATTACGTATCTATATTATATTATTTATAGATATTATGTCGACTATTATAAGGTATGTGTAGGTCATCGATTTTTTCTTCGAATTATTATTATTAACAAAAAAGTTTAAAAACTCTTTAAATATTCTTTATTGAATAGTTTCAATTAACAATTTATTATTTCATATTTAGTGTTTATATATATATATATATATATATATATATATATATATATATATATTTGTTATAAAAATCACGTATGTAAAATATAAGAAGAATCATTACAACTTAGTATAATAATTAATTTTTTTTTATAATTTTAAAGAAATACTGAAATTACCGGAGTATGTATGTATTATAAATTATTTTTGTACCTGACTGTACTGGATTGGAAAAAAAAGAAAATACATGGATAAATTTATTTAACTAGTTTTTTTTGACCTTATTTTTGTTTATATTTTTACAGGATTACCGATTTGGGTGAACAGTTTTACTTTTCTAATTCTAGCCTCTTAGTTTTTCCCAATTTTTTTATTTTTATTTAAAATAGAGATAAATGGAACATAAAATATAGACTTCAAATAATTATGATAAGATCATGAAAAGTATGGCGATGATGATGATGAAAGAATACATTTTTAAATTGATTACTCTTATCAAGTTCCCATCCGCGTTTCACACGAGTGTTCTGTGAAATGAAAGAAACGAAGAAAATCTCCCATCACACTCACTCACTCTCTTTCATTTTGTATTGAAATTTTAAAACAAAATTTTCGATATATTTTACAAACATTTTCTTTTATACAAATCTTTTTTGCCAGACAACATACTTTAGATGTCAGGCAACTACAAACATAAAGGGAAAAAGATTGTTAGCAATGGAGTTTGACAGCCCCATTGCTAGCAATATGCCCTATCAGGTCGACCTCCTCGCGGTTCCCCCTGGAAACTATCATGGTTAATTCCTGATAAATTCATCGCGATGGGCTAACTGGCCTGTTTTCATTCTCATCTATCACCCTTCACTGGTGCTCCGCCAGCGTATATCGTTTGCACAGGCGGGGTCACCATTCCATTTTCACCCATCAAAAAAAAACTACAAACATAAGACAAAAACGTTTACTTTTTATGGTAATATATGTACAATTTTAATTAGATATTATTAAGTTTAGCTGTACAGTTTTTACCCTTGAACATTCTATAGTTTTCATTCAGCTTCTCAAAGGTTGACAGTAAGAGATCCATCTATGGGATAAGTCCGCCATTGTATATTAAATCTTTTAAATTGTCCAATGTAAATTATTTTCAATAAAGATTTTACAAATAAATAAATATACAAAAAGAATTAGCCAAGTAGAGGTTCCTCCTTTCAGTCGTTCTCAAAGTTTTACATATCAAAATTATCTTCAAATTTAAACACCTATACTTTTTATTACTTCAAAATCTAAGTTACTATAGTAAGTTTGAGAACGATTGTCCCTTCCCTTCAAGATATGGAGCGACGGAGCGATAGTGCACCTAACCAGTGTTACTGGACAACTTTCTAGCACCTGGTTAGCAATTAACGGATATCATCAAGGCAGATTTATTGAGCACACGCCTGACAAGGGCCTCATTAGGTCTAATTTATAGGACATATAGACTTACTATGCAATAGCTTATAAAGATAGCTGCACGATACCACTGCCTCCTTTTTGTTTCTGCAATCATTTTCAACAGAACATAATGAAAATATTAGTTGTATTTTTATTAAATTCTGTTGAAAATATCATAACAGTTATGTTGAATTTTTTTTTTCTTTATTTTATTAAAGTTAACAAACAGTAATACAATATATAATTATAATAAAATTACATTTAAATGTGATTAATAGTACTACCAACAACGTTAACTACAGATTGCTATATATATATATATTGCCGAGAAGTGGAGCCGACCATTATATCTATTAATTAAGTTAAATTATAAATAACATTGACACAACCACATCACCGGTACAAATCATACAAAACAAACAAAAAAAAAAGAATTTTAAATATACACATGTATTTTATAATTTACTAATAATGTGCACGCATTACTAAATTCGTGAGAGAGGGAGGAGGTTACTAATTGTTTAGCTACCATTTTTTTTTTAAAGTTAATGGTTTAGTAGCAAATATATCAATATTATAAAATTTGTCATTATATATTTTCAAAATTCTATTTATGGGTGAACGAATACCGGAATTGGTACGGTATCTGTTAATTGCAAACAATTCTTGCCTTCGTGAATTTCTCATTTGTGTACGCACTGGAACTTTATAATTTATCTGATCTGTTGTCATAAGAATACAAATTTAGTTATTTATTTCTTTACTGGTCATATTACAAATAATAATATTGTATTATTATACAACAATATTTAAAAAATGTGCAATGATTGCTACATAGCATTCTTTACCAGGTCAGCATTTGGAAAAACAGAAATGTAACAATGCGGTGAAAAATATTAAAAAAATATTCTGGGTAAATAGTTACTGATAGACAGTCAAAATATATGAAACCATATATCATTACCATATTACCTGTTAACTGTCCATTGATAAACAAAGACTTCCCCCATAAGTGGGGTTTTGCCGTAATTATCATGCATGGCATGCGAATCGGTGATTTTTTTTTAATAAATGATAATGGAATGATAACCCCACCTGTACTTTTGGTATACCAATAAGGGATTATAGGTAAAGGTGGAAAAAACAGGTCAGTTAACCCATCGTTACGAATGTACTAGGAAATAAAACATAATGGTTTCTAGGGGAGACTACGTGGAAGTTTTTTTTATTTTATTTTATACAACTTAGAATGGCAAACAAGCTGATGGCTCACCTGATGGAAAGTGGTAACCGTCGCCTATAGACATGAGCCCATAGACATAACAGAGTATACTCTTTCACCCATGATACCCCCCTGGCGCTACCATTCCTGAGAACTCAGGTGTTATTCCTCTGTACCTAGTAAATTCACGCCATATCCCACCCTTCAAACCGAAACACAGCCATGCAAACACAACTGCTTCACGGTTGAAACACGAATGGGACAGAGGTACGCAAGCAATCGACTTTTGTACAAAGTCTCCCTCTGGGATGATGTGAAGTCGACCTGACAGGGTATATTGCTACAATAGCAATGAGACTGGTAATCCGCATTACTAACAATCCCTTCGCCCGTTTTGATGATGTTTTAAAAGGGACGATGCTATCCATCGCTCAACTCTTAAATTCTCTTACGAAAACCTCGGGGAAGGGAAAGGTGACCCGTTCTATGCCAGGACCACACGGCAAACTAAACAGAATACAATGCGTTAATAATAATAACTCTACTTTTACAAGAAGACTCTTATGTTTTTTTTTTTTTACCAGCAGTGGGATAATATAATATTAGGTTGTTACATTAATTACAATTAATAAATTACAATTTGTAAATGCTACTTTATTACATTCAGAGAACGTTCAATCACAAAGCTTATCTTGACTTGCTCCGTTACACTTTACAAGTTATACTTAACTGCATACTGTTAACGGGCCGCAGTCGTGTACGCATCCAGAGATATAAACATCGACGGACAAACGCAGTACTCTATGCTATATACGTCGCTCGTAATTCGTTGGAATAAGGATCAGTTTGCAATAACATACTGTTCAATCGTAGGTAGTAAATTAATGCTAGATTTCAATATAAAATCAATGTTTATGAACTGCAAAGAAAACGTTGATTGTTAATTGCATCTACTGAACACTAGTGATGTGCCGGATACTCGTATCCGTGTTCGTATCCGCGAATATCCGAAAGATAACAAAAAGAAAGATGAAAAACTCCTTTACTTTTTGGCGGAACTTGAAGAGATGCTGTATTTTATTAAATTTATCTAGTCGAGGTCAATTCCTGCCACTTTTAAACCATCAACCATGTAATGCGAAAGTCTAAAAGTTAATATTGTTAAATTTCTTCACTTATATGAAAGTAGTATATATGTATATACAGGTAACAATAAATTCCAATGAAATTTGATGATAAACGGAATTACGGTAGCCTATGGACTCCTGTAACACCAGGGACATTACACGCAGGCTGCCGACCTTTTAAGAAATCTTAATATGCCCTTTTTGAGGAACTCCAGGCTGTAGTGTCTAAGAAAAGCCTCGGCAAGAAGATCATTTCACAACCTAAGTGTTCGCGAAACACCTCTAAAATCGCACTGAACATGACCATTCTGGGTCTAAGGTGTGAGGATGGATTCCCTGCCGATGACGAGCGATGCAATGCTGAAAGATGGCTGTAGGTATCATATCGAAGAGTTTTTCCGAATACAAACCGTTATGCAAGCGGTAGAAGATTTATTATACCAATAGAGCATAAACGTAACCAATTGATATATTCGTATCTTAAATCGTAAGAAACAAGAGATCCGTATACGTATCCGTAAATCTAGACACTGATTTGTATCTGAGGGCCTACCATGAAATATTTTCCGAAATTTCGGGCACGAACAAAACAGAAATTTGATGTTAAAATTACATAATACATGCCGTTTAAAATTATTAAAAATGTTAAAATATCATTCCTCTGGACTATAAGGATAGGATTTATGATGAACGAAATGTTAAGCTTCATTTACTGGGTCGATTTTGGTACGAACAAACGGACGAAATTGAGCCCGAAAATTCGGATTTTCGTTTCATGCTAGACCACCTGTATCCGCGAATATACATTTTCCGGTACATCACTAGTGAATACATAAGAAGTGGATCAGATTTGCTAACAGATTAATTATTTCATGACTAATTTGTGTTTGATATGAAAAAGAAACATGGTCTAAAGTTTTCCTTATAGGCAACTAGTTTTTACACGCAACTACGTTTGCGTAGATATAATGATTTCGTGAGAAAATGTGTCCTATTCTATGCCACATAGTGAACCTATCACCTTGTCTATCCCAATCAGAACATGTATTAAAAATCCGATGACAATCGATTGATGCATTATCGCGACAAAAAAAAAACTAAAAAAAAAAACTTGAATAATGAAGTCTTTACAAGCAAACTAGATTAAATCATATCTGAGGAATCAGTACCGGTGATGAGGGAGCCGATATATTTAAAGTATGTAAAATTCCTTAAAAAATTTTTAAAAATCCTTTAGAATAGCTGATCATTTTCATGAGTATTATCATTGGATTTCTGCTTGATATACTATGTACGCCGTTGGCCTTGTTTCAGCAGTGGACAATTAAAGGTTAAACAATGATGATGATGATGATATTAATTACAATTAAGAAGTGTAAAACTAGGAAGTCCAAAAAGTGTTTAAACAAATCCACCTGGTTTTTGGAATACAAGTAGTTCCATGGAAAGCGACCGACCTAATGGTTTTATCTTGACT